CTTCCTTTCTTCCTTCCTTCCTTCCTTCCTTCCTTCCTTCCTTCCTTCCTTCCTTCCTTCCTTCCTTTCTTTCTTTCTTTCTTTCTTTCTTTCTTTCTTTCTTTCTTTCTTTCTTTCTTTCTTTCTTTCTTTCTTTCTTTCTTTCTTTCTTTCTTTCTTCCTTCCTTTCTTCCTTCCTTCCTTCCTTCCTTCCTTCCTTCCTTTGTTTTTATTCACTTTGAACAAAAAGACAAAAAGAGAACATTTCCATGTATATAGCACAGCAAAAGAAGATTCAATATAAAACCATGAATTTCCATTTCACACTGTTTCCTTTTTTTGAAAAACTACGTAATAAATACTACACATAATTTTCAAAGCTGTCCTGCTTTTTTGTGCTTCCTTCTATGTTTTCTGTTGTTCTATACTATTCATTTTTTTTCCTCCCTCCCTCTCACCTCACCCTAGAGAAGGCTGTCATTAGACATACACATATATATGTATGTATGTAAGCATACTGTACATATTTCTATCTATCAGTTGTTTCTCTGAAAGTGAATAGCATCTTCCTTCATAGACACTTTGTAGTTGATTTGAATATTTACGATAATCAAAATAAATTAGAATTTCAAAGTTGTTCTTATGACAATATTTCTGTTATTGTATACACTGTTCTCTTGGTTCTGCTCATTTCACTTTTCATTATTTCATGTAAGTCTTTCCATGGTTTTTCTAAAATCAACCAGCTCATCATTTCTTACAGCACAGTAGTTTTCCATCACAACCATATACCACAACTTGTTTAGCTATTCCCCAGTTGAAGGGCATCTTCTCAATTTCCAGGTCTTTGCCACAACAAAGAGAGCTGCTATAAATATTTTAGAACATACAATTTGTTTTCCTTTTTCCCTAATCATCTTGGGAAACAAACCTAATAGTGATATTTCTGGGTCAAAGGGTATGCACAGTTTTATAACTCTTTGGGCATAATTCCAGATTGCTCTGCGAAATGGTTGGATCAATTCACAGCTCCACCAACAGTGAATTAGTGTCCCAATTTTTCCATGTCCCCTCCAGTATTTTTGTTTTCCCCTTTTATCATTTTCGCCAATCTGATAGATGTAAGATGCTATCTCAAAGTTATTTTAATTTGCATTTCTCTAATCAATAGTGACTTAGAGCATTTTTTTCATATCTATATATAGTTTTAATTTCTTTATTGAAAAACTGCCTGTTCATATCCTTTGACCATTTATCAGTTGGGGAATGACTCGTATTCTTATAGATTTGACAAAATTCCTTGTGTATTTTCTTTAAAAAAAAACATCAGATAAATCAGAGCCCGGGTTTCAATATCCTGTTGTTTTGGGGACAACACCAATACCATGCATGTGCATAGCACTTGAAAAATTTCAAAACCTTTTTCACAATTCTCATCTCCTGTAATTTCCACATCTACTCTGAGAAGAAGAGCACGTGGTATAGTCCTACTTTATAAATGAGAAACTGAAGCACAGAGAGGTTAAACTACTTGCTTAAAGTTACTCCGCTAGTTAGCGATAGAGCTAGGATTAATAATAATCATGCTAGCTTGTATTTATAGTGCTTTCAGGTCTGCAAAGCACTTTTTAGATACATTATTTCATTTGATCCTCACAACAACTCTTTGAGGTATGAGCTGTAATCATTTGAGGCTCAGAGAGGTCATATGATTTACCTCGTAAGTGTCTGAGGCAGGATTTGAAGCCCCGTTCTCCTAACTTCAAGGCCAACACTATAGCCACTCTACCATGTTTCCTCTCAACCCAGAGCCCTGAAGATGATGAGATCAATCTTCCTGAGTTCTGTAGTTAACCCTTTCTTCAAATTTTATGTCTCTAGTTGAATCACATTGCTGTGGCTGAATTCCTGGAACAGGTGGGAGTTTATAGCCTGATCCTTCCCACCCCACCCCCACATTCATCCCACACAGAGGAAGTGGCCTCAAGTACAAAACCACAAGGGACCATAATTGCCCCCATCCCACCCCCTCAATCTCCAAATGATTCCTAGTTTGATCCTGTATAATGCCTTGCATGGAGTGGGTGCTAAGATGTGTTGGATTGAACTAGATATTGGAATTAAGTTTCATTTTACTTTGGTGTAGGAGTCAATACTGAGTGATTCTGTACCTCTTATAGGACAGCTATTATTATTGATTCTTTATGAGGGAATTTGGAAGTTTTCATTCTGTATTTTGCTGGAGGAAGCATGGGTTAGGAGAAAGAGTTTGAGATAAGTTGAGTTGGGTGCAAATCACACTTTAACTGTGACTAAGGACAAGTAAATCACTTAACCTCTCTAAGACTCAGTTTTTTAATTTATAAAATGAGGATAATAATATCTGTAATATCTCACAGAATTATTGTGGAAGCCAAATGAGATAATGTTTTTAAACTGCTCTATAAATCTTAAAGTGCTACTAATATCAGTTACTATCATTATTACTAATTCTGAGTTTTCTGGAAATATTTTCTGGAATACAGATTACTTTTTATCTGTAAATATGATTTCATACTTAGAAGAATTTACATGGGCCGTTGGAGGGATCTGAAGTACAAGATGATGTGCTTATCCTTAGAGCTGGAGTGGGGGTAGGTTAGATTGGTGGCATCCGAGGAGCAAGAGGGAGACGGAGACTAGAAAAGGGGGAGGGGCGGGGAATTTTATTGCCTCGAGCAATATTTAGAAACCAAAATTGATTTTTTGGCTTTTTGACCTCTTTTCAGGCCTGTATTGATGAAAACTTGGACATGGTGAAGTTCCTAGTGGAGAACAGAGCCAATGTAAACCAGCAGGACAATGAGGGCTGGACTCCTCTTCATGCGGCAGCTTCCTGTGGCTATCTTAACATAGCAGAGTGAGTGAGTTTCAATGGGTCCTGGTTCTTTGCAGTAGTATGTATTATCTCTTTCTTATTCTGTTCCTGCTCTAGAACTTTAAAATCATTAATGGACTTAACCAGTATAAATCACAAATAACAAAGGCAAAAAAGGAGTTACTCATGCTAAATCTATAGACCGCTGATGATTTCATGGTTTTTCATTTAAAATATTTCCCCCATTAAAAATAGATTTTATTGCTGTCTTTCATTTTTACATCACTTAACATTTCCCCTTGTATCCCTATTTATCCCTTCTCCTCATCTCTTCTAGAGAGCCATTTTACATGTTCTAAAATATGGGAAAATCTGACATTATATACAGCATTTCACTCCTATAGATGCCTCACTTTTGTAATGGACTAGGGAGATGTGTTTTCACAAATCTTCTTTGGGATCATCGTCATTACAACTTTACTACATCTAGCTCAGCTGAATTTCACAGTGCTTAGAGATCTGGACCTGAAGACAGGGAGACCTGAATTCAAATCCAGCCTTATACACTTACTAAGGTTATGATTCTGCGAATGTCACTTAACCTCTGTCTCCCTCAGTTTCCTTAACTGCAGAAAGGAGATAATGAGTACACCTATGTCCCAGGGTTGTTGTAAGCATAAAATGAGATAATATTTGTAAAATGCTTTGCAAACCTTAAAGAATTATTATAAATGCTAGCTATTATTATTATTACCACTACTCATAAAACATGATTTCATTTTTTTTCTTTTTCTTAGACATTCAGTTTCAGTTATTTTTTTCTTTCCATTTACATTGCTATAGTCATTGCATTTGTATTGTTTTTCTTGTTCTGTTTACTTCGCTTTGCCTTTGTGCAATAAGTCTTCTCGTGCTTCTCTACATTAATTTGTCATTTCTTATAGCACAATATTTTTTTGCATTCTTACACCCCATTTTGTTTAGCCATTCCCCAAGTAATGGGTATCTAATTTGTTCTGAATTTAACAAACACCAAGAGATATTTCATATATAGAGTAGAACAGAAAAAGAGGATTCATGAAACCACAAATCTTTATTACCTGCTTGCTTCAAAAAAAAAGTTTATAATAAATTTAGCACATTACTTTCAAAGCTGTCCCTCTCATCTGTGTTTCTTCTTGAATTTTCTTCTGTGTTATGAGCATTTACTTTATTTCTTGTTTTTGGCTACCACCAAAAAAATGCTGCCAAAAATATTTTGGAGTGTATGGAGACTTTCTTTCTTTCTTTCTTTCTTTAATAATAAATTTATTTATTTATTTTTAGTTTTCAGCATTCACTTCCATAAGATTTTGAGTTCCCAATTTTCTCCCCCTCCCCCCCCCAGCCCAAGATGGCATGTAAATTGATATACATTTATATTAAACCTATTTTCACATTAGCCATGTTGTAAAGAAGAATTTGAACCAATGGGAGAAACCATGAGAAAGAAGAAACAAAAAAAAATAGTATGCTTCGATCTTCATTAAGACTCTGTAGTTCTTTTTCTGGATGTGGACAGCATTTTCCATCATGAGTCTTTTGGAGTTGTTTTAGATCCTTGTATTGCTAAGAAGAGATAAATCTGTCAAAGTCAGTCATCCCACAGTGTGGCTGTTATACAATGTTCTCCTGGTTCTGCTCACTTCAGTCAGCATCAGTTCATATAAGTCTTTGGAGACTTTCTTTTTGCCATTGTCTTTCTTGGGGTATATACCTAGCAAGGGAACCTCTGGGTCAAAGGGTATGGACATTTAAGATTTTTTTTTTATAACTCCAACTTACATTTGATAATGGTTACATTAAGTCCATTCTACCAACAATATATGACTATACTTGTCTCTCTACAGCCACTTTAACGCTGATGTTTCCTTTCTTTTGTCATTTTTGCCAGTTTGATTCCCAGCCATCCTAGTTGCCACCTGATGTTAGATACAAGGCTAAGTAATAGGAGTAGTTTCACAATTACTTTTTATTTATTCCAATTTATCTGGAATTTGATCTGGTATTTTTGGTTACAAAGATGCAACTTTTCTCTGTTCCCTGTCTGTATTCACTTTGTGAACACTTACAGGCAGATAAAAATATCAGTAGGCCCAGAGATTTGTTTGTACCAGTATATTCAAATACTCAGATGTATCTGTGATCACAGTTGATGTACTCATTCCCTTTAGTGATGCAGGTTTTCAGTCATCTATGCTTCCCTTCCTGAGAAACTCTTGTCCATGTCTTCTCATTAGTTCACCAGAGGTGGTTCTCCCAGTATCTTGAAACACTTCCTTGATCACTCCTGATGTTACGAGAATACCAATGGAGAACATGGACTGTCCATTGGTAATCTCTTGCTTTTGTCATGTGACCACTGGATCATCTCCTTTTTTGGTACATGTCTTTGTCCTTTATACTGCTCCTCTGTAATTCATTGTTTGTAATGTGTTGCAGGCTGCTTACCTCCACTGTGCAACTAGGTTGTTGAACTCTGAATACACTTCAATTTCAGTTTTTTGGAGACTGTGATATTCTATGGCTTTTAGTCATATAAAAACAGAAAAATAAAAAAGGAAAATATTGAGCCTTTATTTAAGGGAGAAACTTGGGGCCATTTAGAGAACTTTCTAATTTCCCAAAGACAGTTCAGTCTGCTCTACTCATTCTATTCTGTTCTGGACCCAGTTCTTTGTCCATTTGCAGCATTAGTTCAGTTTACATATACTGAGAGATGAGCACTCTAGTTTTCCATTCAATTGCATATTGTAGATTAAACACTAAGAAGTCTTCATCCACTTAGTTTTCCATATGTGGACAGTAAGGACAAACTCTTCAGAGTGATTATCGGTCTTGTTTTGACTTCTGGGGCATCATATAATCAGTGTAATGAAATCCATAAGTAAGAATACCAGCAGAATCTCACCATCTTTCAGAAATTCCTCATCCAATGTATGTATGCCAGATTGAGTCTGGCAGTTAGTAAGCATGTCTCTCTGTTTTATTCTTTAATATTAATGATCAGAAGTTGAATATCTGTTGCTCAGTGAGTAACCTGTGATTTTGATATATGCATGGGAGACACTTTTTGAAGGAGAGTGATTAAGATAGTATTGTACTGTACCACATTAAACTGTTTTGTTTTGTTTTTAATAGTAAACAGACAAATACAGTGTGATCTTATATTTTTTCTATCATTCAGCCTGATTATTTGTGTCATGGTTAAAGGTGGAATATCCCTTGTGAAAGATTGTTTGTTCTCATCTAATTCCCCCATCAAAGATGTCCTTGTAATAATCCATGTGTGGATTGTTTTCATAAAAATTTTAAATAGCTAGGAAAGTAGCAATGGGTTGATAATTACTGATGGTCCCTTGGTCACCTTTAAAAAACATAATACTAAGGGGTAAAGATTTCTGTCATACCTTTGGTTTCTTACCTTCAGATACCTTAAGAATCAGTCCCTCAGTTACTTCAAAACTGTGTTAAATCTAGTATGGAGCTTACAGAGAAAGCACAAACACCACAGTCCTGGAATTGTTCCTCTATACCCAGATGTGGTGGCTCCACTGGCCTCAATGCTGAAGAGTTTGTTGATGGCCTCCTCAGCTGTTTTATTCTGTGGTTCCTCCTGGTTTTGTCCTTCAGTGTCCAGGGGAGGGCTTTGTTTGTTGTGATTCCCGTTGTGCTCTCTCTCAACTTGCTGTTCCTTCCACTATTTTTTTTGTGTATGTTTTATGAGACATTATGGCTTTGGCAGCTGCATATAATTTTTCACCATCCACTATAAAATTTTACAAACTGGTTTGTATTCTAAACCAGTGTTGACCATGGCTTCCATATCATCCCACTTGGTAAGTGAATCAAGTATTTGCTGGCAGAGTTGGCTTCTAGGTTCTTTTGGTCTCCTTGTTATAGTAATGAATAGCAAGCATTTTCATAGATAGCACTTTAAGAATTTCAAAGCATTTTCAAAAATATTATCTCATTTTGTCTTTATAACAACTCTGAGAGGTAGGTGCTATTATTAGATATTATACAGATGAGAAAACTGAGACTGGCAAAGGTTAAGGGACTTTGTCCAGAGTTACACTGTTAATAAGTGTCTGAGGCCAGATTTGAACTTAGGTCTTCTTGAATCTGTTTAGTGCTCTATCAACCGTGCCACCTAACTGCCTCTGATTGGTAAAATGCACTATAAAATAGCATTAATCAGCATTGATTTTCTTTCTTACATCCATTTTCTGTTTTTTAGATTCAATAAGTTGTTTAAGTAGCAGGTTGGAGTTAATTAAATACTACAGCATTTTCTTGTTTTTGTTCTTCTTGCTTCAATTAATTTTGGTCTTTGCTCTAACAAGTCACAGTGGTCTGACTATACACAGACATTTGATTCAGGAATAACTCCCACATTAGTAATGAGTCATTTCCTGCCAGTTAAAATATAATCAATTTCTTTTTTTGTGATATTGCATGGTGCTCATGACAGTCAGAACGTTCTGTCTCACTTTTTGATGATGTTTGACAATGAGGATTCTATATAGTATAAAAGCTTTTGACCTCTTCTGTTTCTTAACCCTAAACCATATTTTCTTCCATTTTCAGCAATTCTTAACCTTTGCATTGAAGTTATTATGTGTCAAAGTATATGTTGATTTAATTTGAAGGGTCTTGTTGAGTTTTAGTAGAATTTCTCCTGCAGCCAATGTTGGTGCTTAAACACAGCTATTTTTGTGGTGATCTTTTTGCAAATACTTCTCATGAGCACTGTAATATGAGATGATCAAATGTCCCACGAAATGTTTTTCTTGTCGCCTTTGGATGTACAATAAAACCAGGGACTTTATTTACCTCTCCCACGAATATTTGTGACCTAGCTTTTTATTTAGCTGCAATTCACTTCTGTTTTCTGGATAGGATTCCTTTCCTCTTGTACTATGTCCACCTTTGGTTATTGAACAAGGTTGTCATAGTTAGAGTACCAAGAGCTAAGTTAATGTTTATAGATAGTCTAAAAGCTATGATTCTTGGAATTGCCTATTTCTTTTTCTACTGCTCTTAACTACAGAAGTAGAAGGGAATTATGCAGAGCTCATTATTTTGTATTTTTTTGTTTCATGGGTTGCCACGGCCCCCCAAAAATCATCACCAAGTGACCAACTTGGCTCTTTATCTTGGTGATATGGCCTCACTGTACTTAGCTAGACTGGTCTTTGGAAAGCAGATAAAGTATTTTGCTTGGACTGTACTTGGAGCCTTTCTAGCAAGGAAATAGCTGCTGCTGGCGTAATTTTCAGGAACCCTGGGACACCTCTATCCCACCATAAGGCCTCAGAGTAGGACTTAATGGAGATAATCTTGAATAATTGTTTTAAAGCGAAAGAAGTAGGCCTGAAGATGGAAGGACAGTTGCCTAAATATCACAGGAGCATCTTTCGTCAGTATTAAAAGAAAAAGCCTAAACATAGTGAGCAAAGGACAAGGCAGTTAACAGGTATTTTCCGTGTTAGTTGTGTAATTATGTTTCATAAAGCACAAGCAAAGACTTAACTTCTGAGATATCTACCTGTCCTCCCTGAGGCAAGGAGGCATCAACACAAGAGTAGTTGGTTTTTTTTTTTTGAAGGAGAAAGACTGGTAGTTGAAACTGACCTTCAGAGTAACATGTTTGGAGTATATCTTAGATGAGTATAAATTCAGATATGATCAGGTATGTTTTGTAATGAAAAGAAGATTGGAATATTAAGGCTGTTTAAAGTAAGCTTGTTTATTAGAAGTTCCTCCTAATGTGCTTAGAGCTTCATTGCACCTCTCGTTCCACAAACAAGCAGTGAGAGTGCTCCTGACCACTGTGTGGAGACCAGGGGACTCCCTTCCCACAGAATCGGATTGTCTTTGTCTTGTAGATCCTATGGCATTGTAGTCACCCCTGAGCCCCACAGGGTCATTGTGATACTTTGTGGGAGAAGTCGAACAAAAGAAGAGTTAGGCAGCAAAACGTTGAGCTGTGGCATCGGTGTTGGCTGGGCTGCTTTTTCTGTCCCCAAAGCCAACAGAAATGAACAGTATAGTTTTATCCACTCTTGGGTCCCTCCCTTTGTTTCAGTTTTGTGAAAGTTGGCAACCTCTTCATCACTTAGGCCGCTCTCTTTTTAGAGACTCACAGAGATGGCTCTTAATCTTTAATGTGCTCAGGTATGCTAACTTTTGGTGCCCAAGAGTTAAGGTGATTTCCTTTTGATGGTTGCTTTTAGTAAAAATGTCATTAACTTGTGGAAAATATAAACCCCCTTACTACTGGCATTTCAGTTTTGGTCAGTGACTACATTCATGATTTTTGAGCTACAGAATCTCATTAAATTTAGCCACCTTTTTTTTTTCTTTCTGTAGATAGATGGGTAGATAGAGCATAGATTAAGCACTTCACCAGACACTACACTAAATGCTGATAATACAAATATAAGCAAAAAAGACAGCCTCTGCATGCAGAGACTTTACTTTCTAATGGGAGAAAATGTGAGTTGGAAGGGGAGAGCAGTGGGCAGGTAGTGATAAGCAATTGGAGAAGGCTGCCAAGGATCAGGTGGAGCAGTCCGGGGACTCCGCAGTGGAGCCAGCAGTGCAGTGAATATGGATGGCCTGGGCCGCTTGTGAAATTGCCACCTGGGCCAAGGATTCACTCATCAGAAGAGAGGGAGGGCCACGGAGGCAGAGGTATCTCCAGGCTGCTGAGGAAGCAGGAGCGAACCAGAAGGAAGAAGTAACAAGTAGAGCGCATGCCCTGAATCAGGAACTTATCTATTGATGCCCTTCATGGGCTTTCCTCTTTTTTTCTTCTTTCCTTAGGAATCTGTGCAGAGAGAATAATTTTAAATTAGATCTCCTGTTACATAGCTTTGATTTTATATGAACCAGTCACATTGATTTCTTTTACTTGACATTTTGGGTAAACACACTTATGTCTTAGAAATAAGTATGAAACTTATCAGTCCTTTTTTCCCCCCTGAAAAATTACCTGAGGCCAGTGGATCTTTGTAAAACTGATTGTGATGAGCTGATGTCACACAAACCCTACTGAGATAATTCTGTGGGGTTATGCTACAATTCATTTCTCATTAGGTTCACCCTTATGAAAAACTTTGAATTTCACTGTTATTATTCATTTCTATGGTACATGGGTGCATTTTTCAGAAAATTGAAAACTGCTTTTCTAACAAGTTGTGCTTTAGCTTGAGGCCAAGAATTATCTAGTCTCTTTCAGAGCTTGTCAGCCCTCAATTACCTACTTGTATTCATTGAGTTCTTCATAGCCTTTGTAGTCTTTTTGGAAAAGACACTTTATTTTCGGGTGTTTTTTAAAGTAATATTTTCTCCCCAATTACATGTAAAAGCAATTTCTACATTTGTTTTTAAAAACTTTGAGTTCCAAATTCTCCCCTTCTCAGTCCCTGAGACGGTAAGCAATCTGATATATATTATACGTGTACAATCATATAAAAACATTTCCCTGTTGGTCATTTTGTGGAAGAAAACTTGAACCCTCCTCTCCCCCAAAATGAAGTGAAAAATAGTATGGTAAGCCTCTATTTTCAAGGGAGAAGAGAGTGAGAAAACACTTTGTTTTCTCTTCCAGGAACACTCTGTGTTCAAGTGCTTTCTATTTCAGGTTCATATCCATTTTAAATGATGTGCTCCCATCTCTCTCATCTTTACCCTGGATAGTAATATTAAAACACAAAGAGAGGTTTGGCCTCAGTTATGTTTCTTTTCTCTGTTGTTCACGCACTCTCTTTCACCTGTACTCCCCTACCTTCCCTGTATTTATTATGCTACTAGGATGTGCCAGTGCTTCTAAATGTCCAGGTGCCTTGATGAGGATCCTAAGGAGAACAAATGAAAACTATGCAAGGACTCTTAGACTTGCATTGATTATGCTTAAGGAGAATAGAAGCTAAAGGGGTTTTTTTTTCCTTTTATAATGGTAGTTTTGGAGAACAGTGCTATATGAGACTACATTCTCCTTTGATGGACTTCAGGTCATGCTTATAGGTTACTCCCCAGTATCCTAGGTCTGGGTAGGTATTCTATCATTGAAGGAGAAAATAGAGGCCTACCCCTGTGTCCATTTGGGTGTGGGTGTGTGCTCATTCACTTAGCAAACATTTATTAAGTGCCTTCTATGTGCTAGGCACTGTACTATTCCAGGAAAGGGTGGTGTATGGTCCAAATTGAATAGTCTTTTTTTTGCTTTCAGCTGTTTCTAAGTACTAAATTGCTAACTGCAACTATTATTGGGCCTTTTTATAAGAGCTAATTAAATTCCTCACAGACTTTGAATTACACAATTACATATTAATGAAAGAAAAAGCATTTATTATGTGTCAATCACTGTGCTCAGTGCTGGGAATACAGATAGAAAAAATGACGGTCCTTGCTCTCAAGAAGCTCATACTCTAATTGGGAGAAATGAAACACATAAAATAGCTCAACTGCAGGGTGGGTTGAAAAGCCAAGAAGTCCTAAGGGGGTGGTTCTGGGTTGCATGGCAAGGCCCAGGGGTCTTTACCATGGATCAGAAGGTGTCAGGACAGCACCCAGGGGTCTGGAGGGGAGAGTGGCAAGGTGGATGATAAGACCTGGTGATCCTCTGTCTGGTGACTCCCAGCTCATCTAAGTGGTATGAACGTCCATATTGCTTTTTTGCCTGGCTGCCCTGGAGGGTGTCCGGAGCTTTAGGAGAGGGGAGACCCTACTGAGAAAAGGTGTTCCTTTGGCACTTCTTCCTGTCCAGCTATCCTATGAATTCTGGGCATCTCCTCACAAGGAAGGGGCAAAAGGAAGTTGGGGGAAGGAAACATCTACCGGTAGTTCTTCTTTCACACATTCCATATGAGGCCATAGCATATTAATGATTTCTCTGATATGGTAGTTCTCTTCTGGAGTGAGGAAGGAGCTGTGTAGATGACTGGTGGTGGTAGTGGTTGTGTGTGTGTGTGTGTGTGTGTGTGCATATGCCTGTCCAGATTTGAATAGATACCTTAAATATATGTGCTTGAGACCACAAAAATATTTCATGCACCCAAATGTAGCCATTGGCAAAATCCTAGTGAAAATCATTGCTCTATGTCACTTCTGACTTTTGTCTCAAAATTATTCCAAGATGTAGGAAGGAATTTTCTTTTCAGAAACTTGCATTTGGAGAGAACGTGATCTTACTCCTTACAGAAAGCTTCTCATCTATCCATACAGATCTTTCTTCCTTCCTTCCTTCCTTCCTTCCTAACATTCTCAATGATGTTTGTGAAACGTGTCCTGCTTGTTGCCATAGAAGAGAAGGAAGAAATCTTGAGCCTTACTTATTGAAGTATCTTAGACATCCAAAGGATTAAACATGGGACACCTAACTTGAGACCTGTTTGGAATCCCAAACCAAATGCCTTTTTCTGTTAGTTTTTCAAGTTCCTCTCTAACCTTTGGTGCATGAGTGTAAATTGACCCCAGCCTGGCATAGATAACGTTACTCCTGGGTCTCATCTGCGCAGGTATTTCATTAACCATGGAGCCAGTGTGGCTGCAGTGAATAGCGAAGGTGAAGTCCCCTCCGACCTTGCAGAAGAGGCAGCAATGAAGGACCTGCTTCTGGAGCAAGTGAAGAAGCAAGGTAACTCATTGGGGTGACTAGGGAGTCCTGTGGCCTCTCCTAGTGAGAGGCATGAGAGAAAGCAGCAGCTGCCGCTGGAACACAGACACTTCAGAAATGATCCTTTCATCTTATGGGAGCTGTTAATTAATGTGTGGTGGGAGGGGGTGGGTTAAATCTGTCTGCACAGCATTAGTCACCAATTACCAACGTCCTGGTTCTTCTTAAGAACTCAGGCAAGAGAAGACCAAGTGCCACAAAGATGCATCAGTCTTTGTGTCCTTTCGTAAGGTTAGGTACTAGCCTTGTATTGTATAAGTTGATTCATTCTTTGATACGGCAGATCCAACTGATACAAGTTAGGGAGACTTACTGTTTTTTCCACTGATGAGAGCCTGGAATAAAACTGTGCAAGCCATTTATTTATAGCCTCTGAAATGATCTTGAAACAGTCACCCTTGTCAGGTCAATTTGCTTAGGAACGTAAAAAAATAAGACAGTAGATTGAAGAAGCAGAGAACAAATTTTACTTCTTCATCCTCATTTTAGATTTTCAGGAAAACCAGCATCTGGGGATAGTTCTGCTGTAGGCAGACAAAGGAGCACTGGATTTGGTATAGGTAGGAGAACTTGAGTCCGGTTTCATCTCTGACTGTCTGACTTTGGGCAAGTCGCTCAACTTGTCTGGTCCTCAGTTTCCTCGTCTATAAAATGCGGGGGGTGGGGGGGGTGTTGGACTAGATTATCTTGAAGATCCTTAGCTACTCAAGGTACAGTAATCCTAAGTCATTTAGCTTTTTAAACCAAGTTTTGTGGAAGCACCAAGGGGATGGATAGCCTTGAGAAATGTGGGTGGGACTATTGCTAATTCTTTGTAGTCCATGTACGCTGTATCCGTACTGTGGCCAGCAGTGCAATTCAACAAATGGATCCTGTTACTATTCATTAGTCGTGTCCTAAGTTGATTCTGTGTCTATCTTTTTTTTTTTTTTGGTGAGGCAGTGGGAGTTAAGTGACTTGCCCAGGGTCACACAGTTGGTGAGTGTTATGTGTCTGAGGCTGGATTTGAACTCAGGTCCTCCTGACTCCAAAGCCAGTACTCTATCCACTGCGCCACCTAGCCACCCCCTGTGCCTATCTTAATGCACATACTCACGGTTTTGCTATTGAGACATGCTTCGCCTCATTTAATGAAAAGGAATATTTTTTTCATTCATTCAGCAAGTAGTTACTGAGGAGCAGCCTGGTATAGCCAACTCTGAAGTTAGGAAGACCTCGATTCAAGTCCTTTCCCCAGTACCTACTAGCTGTGTGACCACAGACAAGTCCCTTAACGTCTCAGTGCATAAGTTACAATGAGTTTCTGGACAGCATTGGTGGAAGGCGTTTCCAAACAAGGACTTCCCTACGTGTACATCTTAGGTCCAGACTGAAAATAAATTTTTTGGACTGCCTATTATATACAAAGCCCTGGGTTACGAGTAGGGGATGTAGAAACAAAGATAAAAGCAGTTCTTTCATTATGGGAACTTGCATCCTGCTGGCAGGATACACAGTAGGTACACAAGGTCGTGAACGCCAGCTAACTCACAGAAGGAGAGCACTGACCACTAGTGGAAGAGAAGGCCAGGCTTTCCATAGGAGGTGGCTCCCAAGCAACATCTTTTTTTTTTTTGGCTAGGCAATGGGGTTAAGTGACTTGCCCAGGGTCACACAGCTAGTAAGTATTATGTGTCTGAGGCCGGATTTGAATTCAGGTTCTCCTAAATCCAGAGCCGGTGCTCTATCCACTGCGCCATCTAGCTGCCCCCCAAGCAACATCTTAACGAAAGCCAGGGAATCTAAGAGTTGGAGGGGAGGAGGAAGATTTTTCTAGGCCAGGGGGACAACTGGTGCCAATGCATGGAGGCAGCTGGAAGATCAAGTGTGTAAAGCAGAGTGATGTGAAATGAGGTGGCCAGAAAGCTGGATTAGAGCCTGACTGTGGATGGTCTTAAATGATCAGCCAGAGAGTTTGTAGTTTATCTTAGAAGCAATGGGGAGCCACCAGAGAATGACAGAGTACGACCTCTGCCTTTGGAATGTGATTTTGGATGCTGTGGAGGATGGAAGCAAAAAGACCATTCAAGAACCTATTGTTGTAATGGTCTGGGAAAGAGATGGTGATGGTCCGAGCTATGGTGGTGGCTGTGTGATTAAGGAGAAGTGGACAGATGCAAGAGAGGTCTTGGAGGTAGACTTGACAAGGCTTGGCAGCTGATAAACATGGGAAGAGGGAGGGGTGGATGACACCAGTGTTAAGAACCTGTGTGACTGAGAGGTTGCTGGTGCCCTCAATAAAAAAGGAAAAATTTGGAGAGAGAGTTTTTGGAACTTACAATTTAGTAGGAAAAGTGTGTGTACATGCATACATACATACGTACATAGATACACACTCTGTGTGTGTGCATATTATATATATGTATATATATATATATATATATCTTCCCATATGCACATATGCATGTGCACATACATACAACTATAACATAAAGTAAAATGTTTGAAAGTCTTATGGGAGTTCAGGGGAGGAAGAGATGGCTTCTGTCAAGGGCATATCAGAGATGTGTTGGAAGAACTGGCATTTACCCCCTGTATCTTGTAGGCTAGGTAGGAACTGAACTGGTAGAGCCTATATTATGTGAAGAGCATTCAAAGTAGAAGGAACAGCTTTGATCAAGGCAAACTGACTTACTGTCAGTCAGTAAACAATTATTTAACATCTCCTTTATGCCAGGCACTGTGCTAAATGTTGGGAATACAAAGAAAGGCAAAGGACAATCCTGCCCTCAAGGAACAACCTGCAGCTATGTGCAGACAAGCTATAGACAGGATAAATGGGAGATAATCAACAAAAGGATGAGGATGGGGAAAGAATTCCCAGAGGAAATGGGATTTTAGCTGGGACTTGAAGAAAGCCAGGGAAGCCAGGTGCAGAGAAGAGGAAGCAGGGTATACCAGGCATGGGGGCAGCCAGTGAAAAGGCATGGAGTCAAAAGATGGAGACAAGAATGGCTGGCAGAAAGCCCTGGGGGAGGGAGAAAGAATGAGGATGAAAATGGAGGACCCAATCTGAGAGGTTAGTTTTGGAAAATAAGCACTTTTTTCTGAGATAAGCTAGAGGAAGAAGATACTGTTTTGGGTTAGGAGACCATCTGTGATTGAAACATTTGCCTTCTCTTGTCTCAAATGTGAGGGTAGACAAAATCTTAGTATATGTGCCCATTCCTTAACACCTGAGGGATGATTTGCTCATGTTAGGTTTGAGCTCCTGTCAGCCCTTGATTATTTATAGCATCCAGGATCTCTGCAGCAAACCTCTCCCCTCCCACTGAAGTTCAGCTGCATTGCGGATTACCAGTAGTATAACTAAGCTGAGAGGGTGGCAGGAACAGTGAATGAGTGTATCTGGATTTGAGTGAATGAATTTTGGATTTTCTGGTGTTGAGGAAGAATGCCTCTTTGACAGCAAGTAACATAAAGTTGAGTACCTTATAGCAATTTACCAATCAGGTGTCCCCACAGTATTTTTAAATGGCATATGGATTTTCTGGAGTTTGATAGCATTTCTTCAGGAGGACACATTTAACTCCAGTTACTATTATATATTACTTACTGATAATATTTGGGTAGAAGTCATCTGTTCTGGAGATTTTACAACCCAAAGTAGTGTTCTACTTTATATGTGGGGATTGCTTTTGGGAAATTGCTTTAGAGAAGGGTGTTTTGTTTGGTTTTCATTTGCAGTTTGTAGGTTATACTTGAGACTAAATATATTTCTTGTGCTGTAGAGGCATGATCACTAGACTAGAATTCAGGGAAACCTGTTTCTAAGTGCTTGCCTACCTGTGTCACCAGTGAGCTGTGTGACATTGGAAAGTCACCTGACTCTCCATGTCTGTCTCATCCTCTTTCAAATGTGTCTAATAATCCCTCTTATCTCTATCATATAGGTCTGTTGTGAGACTAAAACTACATCATGTATAGAAAAGTTCTTGAAAAATGTTATACAAATATAAGGCATTTGATTTGTAGGCTCTTTTCCTCTTATGAATAACTTATGGTATGTTCCCTTCATGAATTCTCCTTCATGTAGAATTTTCATTTCACACATATATGTATACACACACACACGCACACACACACACACACACAAATTTTAGAACAGTAATCTTAGTGATCATGAAGTCTCACTTTGATTTTAGGAGTAATACTACTACTACTACTAATAATAGTAATAATAACACAATTACATACCATTTTGAGGTTTGCAAGCTGCTTTGTATATATTATTTCATTTGAATCTCACAACAACCCTGTAAGATAGGTACACGTAGGTATTATCTCCATTTGAAAGATAAGGGAAAGATACTTTCCCTAATCACACAATTAGTGAATATCAGAGTTGGGATTCTACCCAGATGTCTCTTGACTCCCTCCAGCACTTTATCCACTATTAGATGTGATGACAGAGAAATGAGAGACAAGAAGAGACTTGTTGAAGAACACAATTACTTAATAGAAGAGATCTCTTATTTCACACCATACCAGATTCGAGGTGTGTGCATGTGTTTAAATGTCATTTGCATTCTAAGCTAGAAGTAAAATGGAAAAACTCAAAGCTCTAAGACTTGGCTTGTGTCTGGGGACATGTTTGGGATCCAGACAAAGAAAATATCCGACCAGACCAAACTTGGCGTTTCACTCTCTGCTGGTTTCTGCAGGGCTTGATCTGGAGCAGTCGAGAAAAGAAGAGGAGCAGCAGATGTTGCAGGATGCTCGCCAGTGGCTCAACAGTGGTAAAATTGAGGATGTGAGACAGGCTCGTTCAGGGGCCACCGCTCTCCACGTGGCTGCTGCTAAGGGCTACTCCGAAGTTCTCAGGTATGCCTTGACACCTTGAGCAAGTTTTGTCAGCTAAAAATTGACCCACGATTCTCTTGACTGATGCTTCTGGAAGGAGGATGAAGGATTTTCTCAGTTGGTATGTGTTTCCTCTCTCCCTAGGCTTTTTTGTGTCTGCATCAGGCTACACATTCTACCTTCCATCATTGTTCATAATAAGTTTTCCCCTTTCTTTTCTTCTTCCATAGCAGCCCTGGGTTTTGCGTGCTTACGAGCATACAAGCATGCTATGGAATATAAAGCATACAAGTGTTCTGTGAAACATAAAAAAATTGGGACACATTGGCCTACTAGACTCCATAAGGCCCCTTCTAGGCCTATGATTTATCACAAATAGCCTGTGCAATCACCACCTCTTGTAACCTGTAATAAAGTATGAATTTGTAATTATTTTGGTCCTTTGTCATCTCTAGTAATGGCTTTGAGATTTTTAATTACATAGACACCAATTCACTATGTTGCCTGTCTTCCAATTAGGTATAAGAATAAAACATCTTTAAAGGCTCTTTTTTATATGATATGTTAGAGTTTTAAAACTTCACCCGTCCTACTCATCCTTTCAACTCTACACAACAGATGCCATCTTGTGATGTTAATATTAGCTAAGCTTCCCTAAAAACTGAAATGGCCAGGACCAAACAGGAGTAACAGGTGCAAGCTGCAGACAAGCAAATTTAGGCTTAACATGGTCCCCTTCACCGATTACTTATTATTTGCTTTGTATAGACTTTGCCTGTACATATCCATGTACGTGCTATTCTTACTCTCTCCCTCTAGTTGAAATCAAGGCCTTTGAGGGCATGAACAGTTTCGGTTTTGTTATTATATTTCCTGTACCCAGCGCAATGCCTGGCACACAGTAAATACTTAATAAATGCCCATCAAGTTGTTGAATCACATTAAGTAACTCATTCTTAACACTGGGATGGGCTGCCTTCTGAGTCAGTGGCTTGAGCTGAGGCCAAATGTCCACTCGTCAGCTGTGTGGTAGAAGGAATTCTTCATCATGTAAAGATTAACTGGATCTCTGAGAGCACTTCCAAATCCAAATTCTGTGATTCATGGCTTAAAGATGGGAGCCAGGAGTGTTCAGCAGCCCTCTAACAAGTTTGGATTTCATGATTTCCTCCTTGCCACAATCTCAAGTTTGGGTTGTAGGTTTTGGTTGTTCAGGCTTTCTTGGCTGAGCGTTTGTAGAGTGAGGGTATCTGGGTCTGTCATACATCTGCTGTTAAATGTATGAGTGACTTTCTAGAAAGTGCACTGCAGGGAATTGGGTTCCCAGTTTGTATTTTGTCTTTTCCTTCTATGAGAAAATCAAAAACTCATTCTTATGATACACTTATAGGACATAGCTGGTCAAATCGGGCTTGCATCATATACGTATTGAAGGTACACACCTTTTCCAAGTTCTCTGTTTATAGGAACAACACAAGTGTGCCAGGAAAATGCCAGGTAGCATTTAGTAGATACCATCTTTGGCCAATGGAGCTTATGATGGACCCCCCAGAATTGCTTGTGAAACCTGAACTTTGGCTTAGAGAATAGAGGGCATCATTCAGTTTATTTTAATTGAATATTTATTAAATGCCTTTCTTCTATGGCACTTGCTAGGCACTGGGCATACCTAGGGTTTCAGGACCCAAGGCTAAAATGGTAATGGATTAGGAGTTGTTCTGCAGAGAACTACAATGTTAAGCATTTTACCTTTGGTTTTTCTTCTCAGGCTTTTGATTCAGGCTGGCTATGAACTGAATGTTCAAGATCATGATGGCTGGACTCCCCTCCATGCTGCTGCACATTGGGGAGTGAAAGAGGCTTGTTCCATCCTGGCAGAAGCACTCTGTGACATGGATATCAGGAACAAACTGGTCAGTGAAGCAGACATATAGTAGGCAGCAGTGGGCACAGTGATCAGTAACATGTCAGGAGGGTATGAGTGGTTAGAGCATCACACTGCATACTACCTTTTTTAAAAATAAATTTTTATTGATGTATTTTATTTTTGTATCACCTGTACTTCTCATTATATCTTTTCCTTCCACATGCTCCCAGAGTGCCATTCCTTATAACAGGGAATAAAAAAAGAGTAGAGAAAAAATAGTTCAGCAAAAACTAACAAGCATATCAAAGGAGTCTGAAATTATATTTAATGTTCCCCACCCATGGCCCCCTACTTTTGATGGAAGTGCGTAGAGGTCCCAGTACTAAATCTTGTAACATGTAAAACATTATTTTTAAGGGACTGTCATTTATGTGTCTTCTCTATATTAGACAGGACAATATCATAAAATAGGGATTCCGTGGGCAGGATGCAAAAGCAGAACATGAAAGTTGAGTGGTCCCTAGTACAGAGAGCGCTGGTTTTGTTGCTGTTTTGTTTTCTGCTGGTTATTGTGCCCTTTCTCACTGCCAGGGCCAAACACCCTTCGATGTGGCTGATGAAGGGCTTGTGGAACACTTGGAGATGCTCCAGAAGAAACAGAATGTGGTGAGTCTGGGACTGGTGCCTTTATTGAAGCTTCTTTAACAATTTCTTATCTACTCCAGGTATCTTAGCCGCTTGCTTTAGTTATGTCTCTGCTGAGAACTAAAATGGGCACATCTGCATTCCTGAGATGATAATTGGTCTCTTCAGGGACTGTGAGATAGCCTGTCATAAGGAAACATCCCAGAAACCCGTAATGTTTAAACTTGCTTTTTATAGTGAGACAAACTATTAATTGTTGGAGTTTTTAAGCTTCTGATTGCCCCTGAATTCTAAGCATGGCTATAGAATCATAGTTTTTCCCACAGAAAGTACCGGATACTTCATAAGTTGGATGTCATTGTTAGAAAAACTGAAAAGATCAAGAAGCTTTTGTTACTCGAAATTGAAAAAAGAAGCACTGCATTTTGGGTCATGGGCACTGGATAGCTGAAAACTCTCAGTTATCTTAACCATATAAATTTGAAGATTTGTCATCATCATCATCATCGTCATCATCATCATCCTGCCCTAATTGAGTGTTTAACTATATGTGTTACTTTGCTGCCTCCTGTACAAAATAACAACATAAACATGTTAACTTCTACCCTTTATAAAGGACTTTAATGTTTTCAAAGAGTTTTGCATTCCCTATCTCTTTAATCCTCATTACAACCTTGTGAAGTAGCCACGATATATATGATTATCCCCATTTTGGAGATGAGAAAATTTGAGGCTCAGATATGGTACATGACCTGCTCATAGTCACACCACCAGTGGATGTGTAATGTAAGATTTGAAATCAGGTCTCTCGACTCCAGGTTCACTACTCTGCCCCTCATTGAACCAGTAAAACCAGTGCATAAACATATACACAGTGCTTAAAGACGACAGAGTAGAAACTTCAAACCAATATGTGAATGAACAGTAAGTAGTTGACGTTGTATACATATGAAGGTTTTGAGTGGTTGGTCTAGGAAAAGAGAGCAGGGATCATTGTGTAATTGGAATGAAGAACAAGGGCAGTAGCCATGGGAATTCCTGTCAGAGTGGGGGTGAGAAAATTACTGGCTTTCTTCTTATCTGTCTTGGGAGGCTGGTTTGTTTTTTTTAACCTTCTCATTGGCTGTGAGGTAGGGAATAACTGTTCAGAGTTTTAGGACAGACACGAAACTCTGCTCTGATATAGCAGCACTGTTGAATTGAATTTAGAGCAAGTGTGAATGAAAGAGGTATTGGTGAGAGTTCTGATAGAAATAAACATTTAGAGTGTTTGGCACATGGACACCAAGATCACAAGACCTCCAAAAGTAGGGAAAGAAGGATTCATTTTGGGATGTTGAGATAGAGTTGAGTCCTGCTATAGTTATTTGTTGATTGGCTGGAGAGAGAAAGGACTCTAACAAAAGTATAGTTACTAAACCCATAAATATAGAAGCTTAACTCAAAGAGTATAGGATTTTGTAATCTGAGAAGGCCATTAGGCTTTCCCTAGGCCAGAATTTTTTAACCTGGGGCCCATAAATTTTTTATAAAAATATTTTCATAACTGTATTCAGTATAACTGGTTTCCTTTGTGATCTTATCTGTTTTATGCATTTAAAAATATTATTCCTAGAACAGATTTATAAGGGCAAACTAGGCTGCCAGACAGGTCCATGACACAGAAAAGGTTAAGAAATCCTGCCCTGGGCCAGCCTCTTCATTTTAAAGAAGTTCCATGTTTTATAAGTGGTAGAGCAAGGACTAGAGTTCCAACCTCTCTGAATCATGCTATATGACTTATAAAATGCCTAGTGCAGGTTCCTTCATAAGTATTTTGGGTGATAGTCCTCTTCCTTTTCTGTTCCTTTGGCTGGGGGAAAGAGAGAAACATCTAAGTGGAGAGATTCTCTTTGCCTTCTCCTGCTCTAGTGATAATGGGATGTGGGCTTTCATGGGAGCCGCTCTAAGGAGTGTGTATAGACCTTTATAGTGCCTTACTTCTTTCTGGCGATGCTTGCATTTTGGTTTACTTTAAGACAGTGGCAAAATTACACAGAATTATGCTCCAAGCAAAATAACTAATTGCTAGCTCTTTTCATCTCCTTGTTGTACAACACATCACTAAATGCCACTGTTTCTTAAATGACAAAAATTAATGCTGTTATATAGGCACAATAGTGTTTCTAAAACAGACATATGTAGTTTGTGTGGTTGGGTTTGGATATAAATGGATGGCCATAAGGGACTCTAGATTATAATTAATCCTTAATTTCTTCACTGGTAGATGAGGTTTCTTTTTTTACTTTTCCAGCAGTATTTGGTGAACTACCTTGCAGGCCTATGAATACCCTTTGATCAAGAACTTTTCTCTTAGTCTTGGGTGCTAAGCTTTCTTAACTGTTGATTTCTTTTTGAAGTAAATGAATAAATGGGTCATATCTGCTTTTTCATAATCTATAGTGGCGTAATCTTTTTGGGTCAAAAGGCAAGAGCACTGGACTTAGAGTCACAGGATCTGGGTTCAAATTCTGGTTGTGCCACTTATTACCTATGTAACTGTGAGCAAGTCACTTCCCCTTTGTGGCTTTCAATGTTCTCATCTCTAAAACAAGAGAACTGGACTGGATGACTTTTAAGGTCAGTTTAAGCTTTTATATGCTATGGTTCTATGATTAATTGAGTTTCTCTTCATCCACCTCCCCCTTTCTGGATTTTTATTCTTTTTCTGCAAAAAATGGTCTGGCAAGTTAGCAGAGTTAGCCTTGAACTTGTGTGCCTTTCTTGAGTCCGAGCTCCAATTCCATCTTCTTTGCACATCCTGTCCTTAACTTGCTCATTCTAAAGTGTGGCTTCTGTAGTGAGGGCCTTGTTAAAAAGACCTGACTTGTATTGGTCTCTGTGTTCCCCTCCCTTTCAATTCTAATAATCACCTCTAGGATAGTCATACCATATTAAGAGCCTTTCATTGCTGTTGATGTCTAATAACTAACAAGCCATTTTTCTCTCTTTTTCTTTTTCTATTCTCAGCTTCGAAGTGAGAAAGAAACAAGAAATAAGCTAATTGAAGCAGACCTGAATGGCAGATTGCAGAGTGGACTCTTTAAAAAGTAAGACATTGGACAGTAAGAACGGCACAGGGAGGAATGGGGTTTTAGCTGACTCTGAGGTGTTTAGAGCAGCAGCTCCTCCCTGGACACTGAAGATGTGTGAGTGATGTGAGATCACAGGACCGCATCGTCACTTGGGTTCCTCACCCTGTTAGTGCTTTTATATGCAATATTGTGCTGTGGCACAGGGCCTGCATGGGCCTAAAAGAAAAATAATGAGCTCTACTTCTTTTCTGTCATCTCTTAGGAATACTTTTGTGGGAATTTCATTTATCATCATCATCATCATCACAATCCTTATCACTAAAAGCAATAACAATAACTCACATGTGTTAATATATTATGGTTTGCAAAGTGTTTTCCTTGCAGTGATTGACTGCAGACTGCTTACCTTGGGTTACATAGAGCTGTTTGAGAGGGTGGGAACTGGCATTTATTAGTGAAAGGAGTCACTGAGAATGAGTTAAATGTTTGGGGCTTTGAAATTAGTTGGGCCTAATTAACATTTTTCTCCTTCCGATCCAAGGAATCTTAGCCCATCTACATTGATGGCTATGTTTATCATCAAGATGCTCGTAGGGTCCTGGGGCTGTTCAAGCTTACTATGCTTGAATAAGGGAATTAAGTAAGGCAGACTTGAACCAGGTTTTCAGAGGAAGGAAATGGAAGAAGAAGGAGTTTGAAAGCAGTACCCTTGTTAATCTTCAATTCAAGTAAACCTCAGAAGTTGCTTGTCTTGTCAACACTGTTTAGTCTCATTTCTGATTTAGCAAAGAGAAGATTCTGTATGATGAGGAAACACCCAAGTCCCGAGAAGCAGAGGAAGAGCTTAAGGAATCTAGCAGCTCTAGCTCAGAAGAAGAGGAAGAAGGTGAAGAGGAAGCTTCCGAGTCCGATGCTGAGAAGGAGGCAGGTAATACAGTGATGTTTATGTCCGACATTCTCAAGCTGGGTAGCTAAGAGAGCCTTTGTCAAGGGGTATTTGAAAGCTACTAGGCCACTGAGTACTCCAAAAGAAACTTTTAAGTCCTGGTTATAGTTGTGTTGACTTTGTTGCAGAAACTTGGTTGTGGAGTTCTGGGCTGTGGCAACGTCTATTTAGCTATTCCTAGGTAGTGGTATGATAAGATGCTCTGCGGGCTCTAACATGAGGGAGCCAAATCTCCTGCCCCTGAGTTGGTGGGTGATGTGAAGATTGAGTTCCAAAGGCTCAGTATTGAAGATGGGAAGCAGAGGAAATGTGAGCTTGCAAGTGTACTTTGGGGCAAATACTTTTTGTTTCTCCCTGGAGAATAAATTTGTCTTTAGTTCAGATCAATAAGATCCCTTAACACAGCTTGAAATCTTAATTCAACATGTAAAGTTCCCTCAATTCTGTAGTTGGTGATAAGATGTGAAAGGCAAGTATTACATGGGGGAAGAAAGGAATGGTGTGTTTTTCATCTTATTCTGTGGCTTTTTAATTTGGACATGCCATAGTTATCAAATGTATCTTCTTGAGCAGTTTGACTAATACTTCTTTAATGGTAAGTGAGATGATAGTATAGTACTCCATAAAATGATCAGGATATATACCAAACAATCTAAAATAATTTATATGAAGCTCTGCTATACAGTCAGGCATACATTTGGAGAGACCCACTCACATATACTTTTGTTTCATTCTGCCTACTCTTGAACAGTTCTTGAGGGTCTAGGATCTTTTTGAACAGTAGGTCACTTTAGATGATCCATAAAGCAGAATAAGCTCTTATATTTGATCCCACAAAATGAGATCATTAACTTGATAGATTCAGCATTCACCATCAGGCTACATTTCCTGTGAGGGCACACATTGGAGCATTACAGAATCATGGATGCCAAATAATCTCAATGTACGTGCAGTATTTCTGGCCAGAAGGACTGAGTTGGATGAGAAAAGGTCACATAGGTAGCTTGTAATGGCGCCTGTTTTCTCATAAATTGTGACTTTGCCAGGCTGTCCATAATAAAGTTGAAGTCTGAATGCTTTTGGTCCTTTGGTGGGGATCATGTCCTGGTGTGTTTTGGCATGGAGGCACTGATACTTTAGATCTAGGACGCTGTCTTCTCTCTTCCCTGCCTGTTAAATTGTGACTTATTAAATTGCAGTAAGGAAGTTGAAAAGGTGAAGGCCTGGAGAAAAGAGAAATGCTGGTTGAATTTATAGTGAAGCAGATGTTTTTTGTTCAGTCAGATGGCAGGTACAACTTGCTGGGAAATGCTAGTCCAGTGCTGACTTGAATGACCCTATACTTGATATGAATACTTTAATATTTATTCAGTATCTACAATGTCTCAGGCACTATCTATTGAGAACAGCCTCCTACTAGCTCACATGTTAAGGCATAACTAGAATTCTAGAATTAGAAGAATGGAAGGGGTCTCTCAACTATTGCAGTAACCCCTAACTGGTCTTTGTGGCTTTAGTCTCTTTGCTACCTCCAATCTACCCTGCCCAGCTCTGCCAGCTTAATCTTCCTGCATCACTGCTTTGATTACATTCTCTCCTCTGATTAAAAATGGTCAATGTCTCTCTTCTCTTTACCAAATAAAGTTCAACATCCTTAATCCAGTAATCAAGGCCGTCTATAATCTGTCCTCAGCAACCTTGACAATTTTATCTTATGCCACTCATCTACATATATCCTACTATGCTCTAGAATCTTGACTGTGCCGATCGGGCTGTGCACTCTCCTCCTAACAGGAGCAGGCTGCCAGGGTCATACTTACCAGTCTTCAGAGCCTACCCGCATAAACATAGAGACGAGCCGATCGAGAGGTGTAAGCGCTCG